GGCTGGGTTACTGTTGATAGATTTCCATTTAGAAAACTAGGTTAAACATTAAATAGTAGCTGGCTCTACCTTTTGTTAAATATTAGGAAAGTAAAAGCCCAGCAGCAAAATCTTATTACAGTAGCTTATTATAATATCTGCCTTTATTGTAACATACATATTGATTCCTAGTCTACTACATGCACAAAAGATACTGTGGCCCAACAAAGTCAGACTTCATAGAACCAGCAGGTGAAACTGAATTGAAGCCAGAAGCATATGGCCAGATGAATGGAGGATTTACATCAAATGAAAACAATACAAGAAACACATATGACACTATCGTCTCCTGACATCGTGCAAAAGAGTTTTGCAATGACTGACTGGTGAAAGGTTTCTTTGTGGTTTTCTGTTTTAATATTTGAATGAAGCTTGTCTCGCCGGGATAAAAATCTAGGTTTCACACTAATTTGCTTTAATATGCAATGGCCCATAATTGTTCATTTGAGCAAGGGAGAACAGAGTAAACCTAGAGGAAATCTGAGCAAGATTTCAGACACAAGCTTCCCTCCCCCCAGTTTATGCAAAAAAAAGAACAATCCAAAGTGCAAATAATTACACGATATTTCACTTAGGTCAGCATGAGCAGCCAAAACATTGTATTGAAATAATTACGTGCCATTATCAAGGTATGCAGTTTGTTATTTTTAACCTGACAGATTTTCTATTGATCACAAAAGGCAGATCAGATCAGAGCCCTCAAATTCCCAGTGCTCCTTCACTGATGCAGGGCTTAAAATGGGTTTATTTGTCATGGTCTTGGCAGAAGGTGACAGAAACCACACAATTTTAAGCCATTGCTTACAAGAAGAGACAGTAACAAAGGGATTAATTCATACTAACACTGTTATTTGAATACATAAAAATGCCTTGAGCCCCAAATTTTGGGCCTACAATAATTAAGAGTTAAAATTCTCCCATCTCAGTGTAGGTCAAATAGATATGTTGATGAAATCCGGAACTGAAAGATTTATATAATCTAAACTATGGATAGTAATTGTAAATAAAAATGCACCTATTTATTCCTGAAAATTGGAGGCTACTGTTTGAAAATCTGCCCCAAATGTATGGGTGATCTGAGGTTGCTTACAAGCACAGTAATTCTTTAAACCCCAAACATATTTAGTAGCCCTAATTCTGCATCCCTTACACAGGGAAAACTTACATCAAAGCTAATGAAAGGGTAGTTGAATAAGAACCTCAACAAGGGGCTAAATACACTGGTCTACAATTTTTTAGAAGTCGTCTGCTTCAGAGATAAAATGTGCTATTTATTATGTATTCTGACGTGCTGAATTCAAATATGACAATTAAAACAACTGATTGGCTACTGTTTCCAAGATATTTAAGTTTTTACATTTTACGTCTATGTATATTGTGTAGATAGTAAAGTTTTAATCATAAATTGTAAACCCAGGTCTTTTCATGTGTTTATGGTTGCTTTACATGATAATATTTCACCTGTCCTGTTTATGTAACACTTTAAAAAATCAGCAAAAGGGTTATATAAATAAAATGTATTATGAAACAAAAGGCAAAAAACTATTATGTACATAGTTTAGTTCTATTCAATGTCTACTCGGCGCTTCTTGGCTTGTCTCTTGTATTCATTAAATGGAGCATCTCTTGTCATTGTCCAGCAATAGTCTGCAAGCATTGATGGGCTCCATTTGCCCTGATAGCGTTTCTCCATTATTGCAATGTCCTGGTGAAATCGCTCGCCGTGCTCGTCGCTCACTGCTCCGCAGTCGATGGAAAAAAATCTAGATGAGAGTGCAAAAAATGTATCTTTAGTGACATGTTGCAACCAAGGCTTTTGTATGCCTTGAGGAGGTTTTCCACCAACAACCTGTAGTTGTCTGCCTTGTTGTTTCCAAGAAAAT